TGGATACCTTCTGGACAGACCTTTTATGCTCCCTTAGTATGTGGCATGGGACATGGCATAGTGCCAGGTGCTGAAGACTTCTGCCTGGGAGCATTTTGTTCTCTATTTGGGAAGTTAAGATATTAATTATAATAAATATAGTAAATGGCCATAGAATCTTTAGGGTGGGTTAGTAGGGGATTCTTCACAAAAGGGGATGGTTTTGAGCTTATCATTAAGGATGACTGAGATCTCTCTTGGAGAAAACAGATGGGCAGAGGTGCAGGGTTTGGGCTGGACCAGAAAGTGTATGTGGTGGTACAGTGATGGGTATGTTAGGTTGGAACTAGATCCAGGTAGTCTTTGAAGTCTTGAGCTTCTTCCTTTAAATACTAATGATCATGATTCATATTTGAGTAGCACTTTCCAGTTTATAAAGTGTCTATTATGTGCCTGTGTGTTTTTTTCATGTATACACATACACGCCCTTTTATTACTCTAACATTTCAGTGGCTTAGGAACCATTACATGTGCTTTGAAGACAAGTTCATAAGCTTAGAAAGAGGGAAACCTGGTAGGGTCATATACCTAGTAAAGAACAGCATCCGATCTTCCATTTTCATAACACTACTTTTAAAAATTAAAAATCATAATTTTTTGAGTTATAAAACATTTAAACATGCAGAAAAGTAGAGAAAATAACATCTTATGATTTGCCATGGTTTCTTCAAATCTAGTTTGAAAAGAAACACTGGTAAATCTTTTCCATGCTTTCTTCATTTTTCTTTTTTCATTTTTCTAACCAGAAGCAACCTGGTTAGTGTTCAGTGTCCTGAGGTCAGTGTGTATCATTCCAGGTTTCCTTTTATTCTGTTCCTGTAGCTGTGTTTATCCATGAGTAACTTTTTTTGTTTGTTTTAAATTTTATACAGTTCTTTTAAAGGCATGTGTATTTTTGCAAATTATTTTTTTTCTCATTTAATAAATAGTTCTAGGTACAGAATATAAGGAGGATGAGGCTTCCTACCTATTAACATTTCGGGGGGAAGACATAATAAATAAAATCGATAATGTAATATCAGGTTAGGATAAATGCCATGAAAGAAAATTAAGGAGAATCAAAGGATAGATAGCAATGTGGGAGTGAGAGATATTTTAAATAAAGTGTTCAGGGAAGTCCTTTTTTAGGAGGTGACATTTGTGCAGCTGAATTTATTAAGAGCGTAAGTCATGTTACGATGTGGGAAAAGAAAATGCCAGAGGAAGGAACATCAAGTGCAAAGGCCTTGAGACAGAAATGACCTTGGAGCACTTGAGAAATGGAAAAGTCAAGCATGGTTAAGTGCAAAGTTAGGGAGAGAATGGTTAGAAATGAGTTTGAAGAAGCCAAAGGCTAGATCAGATAGGTCCTAGAAAGTAACATTAGGGAATTTGGATATTGAGTGTAATGGGAAGTTACTGGATGATTTTGGAGCAGAGGAATAATATGGTTTGATGTACTTTTACACTGTAATTCTATGAGTAATATGGAAGCTCTTTCTATACTGATATGGAAAGATCTTGAAGATACATTGTTTATACATTTTTCTATACCTGGCTGTTTTTCTTTTTAGTATACTGCTAATTATGTAAAAAAATATATATGTATCTGTGTGTGTGTGTGTATTTGTATTTGTGTAAAGGTTTTCTGGAAGGACATAAAAGAAATAAAAGATTGCTTGTCAGAAGGGGAACTAAAATGGAAGGGAAACTGACTGCTGTACACTTTCTAATAAATCAAGAAAATAATTTTAAGTGTACACACCTTAGCTGTCCAGTGACCTGAATTTTCACAAACTGAACTCTCCTACTTAATCACCCAGAGCCAGAAGCAGAGCTTTACCAGGATGGCAGAAACCCTCAGGTTCCCTTCTTGGCAGTACCCCCACCCTTCCCTTCAGAGGGTAATCACCTTCCTGGCTTCTGCTCACATGCATTGGTTTCTCCTGCTTTTTTACCAGTGCTCTTAACTCTGTTCTATTCAGCATAATTTATTTTAGATTTCAGTTTATATTTCAGCATTGTGCAAGTGACACATCAATTATTGATTACCTTTGTTAAAGGGTTAAAACAATGCAGAAGTATATAAAACACATCACACAGGTCCCCTCTCTATCCCTCCTCCCCATTCCATGACTCTCCCCAGAGGTAACTGCACTGAATAGCTTAGCCTTCTAGTCTTTGTTTTGTCCTAGGGAGTGCTCTATTCAGGTCTGTTCATATATTTTTTTGTTTATATCCTTTTGTCTTTGAAGTTTCCCTGCTTGTCACATACAGCCAAACCATGCCTTTAGTTTCTGACCCAGATGGCGTGTATCCTATGTCCTTGATGTAGCTGCAACTGAGGTCAGCCCTTTTTAAAAGTATTTTTTTGGCATATAACACTTTATTATCTGATATTTGTTACTAAAAATGTGCTTTCATTCTCTTGTTATGTATCTTCAGTTTAATGTAGCCAGCTTTACATACCTGGCAAAAATTTTCCTATGTAGGGTTGGGCATAGTTATTCATACATAAGGAGTATATCTCCATTTCCCTGCACCCTTCTCCCCATGGTTCTAACATGCAGTCTAGAGAGCCACTAGTAGTTGGTCAGTACCAGGAACAGTGCCCTGCATCTCCTAGGCTCTCAGTAAGTATATGCTGAATGAGTGAATCAACACTGAAGATGAAACCTATTTGGTGTGATTTTTTTTCTTTTTTATTATCATTAGGTTATATATTTATTTATATATATTTAATATATTTTATTGATTATGCTATTACAGTTGTCCCATTTCCACCCTTCACTCCCCTCCACCCTGCACATACCCTCCCACCCACATCCCTCCTTTAGTTCATGTCCATGTGTCGTAAGTTCTTTAGCTTCTACATTTCCCATACTATTCTTGCCCTCCTCCTATCTGTTTTCTTCCTACCATCTATGCTACTTATTTTCTATACCTTTTCCCCCTCTCTCCTCCTCCCACTCCCCCGGTTGCTATCCCTCCTTGTGATTTCCATTTTTGTGGTTCTGTTCCTGTTCTAGTTGTTTGCTTAGATTGTTTTTGTTTTAGGTGTGGTTGTTAATAACTGTGAGTTTGCTGTCTTTTCACTGTTCATATTTTTTATCTTCTTTTTCTTAAATAAGTCCCTTTAACATTTCATATAATAAGGGCTTGGTGATGATGAACTCCTTTAACTTGACCTTAATCTGAGAAGCACTTTATCTGCCCTTCCATTCTAAATGAAACCTTTGCTGGATAGAACAATCTTGGATATAGGTCCTTACCCTTCATGACTTGGAATACTTCTTTCCAGCCCCTTCTTGCCTGTAAGGTCTCTTTTGAGAAATCAGCTGATAGTCTTATGGGAACTCCTTTGTGGGTCACTGTCTCCTTTTCTCTTGATGCTTTTAAGATTCTCTCCTTATCTTTCATCTTGGCTAATGTAATTATGACGTGCCTTGGTATGTTCCTCCTTGGGTCCAACTTCTTTGGGACTCTGAGCTTCCTGGACTTCCTGGAAGTCTATTTCTTTTGCCACATTGGGGAAGTTCTCCTTTATTATTTGGTCAAATGAGTTTTCTACTTGTGCTCTTCCTCTTCTCCTTCTGGTACCCCTATAATTCAGATGTTGGAACGTTTAAAGATGTCCTGGAGGTTCCTAAGCCTCTCCTCATTTTTTTAAATTCTTGTTTCTTCCTTCTTTTCTGATTGTATGTTTTTTTCTTCCTTCTGGTGCACTCCATTGATTTGAGACCCAGTTTTCTTTCCATCACTATTGGTTCCCTGTGCATTTTTCTTCACTTCACTTGGTGTAGTCTTCATTTGTTCATCTAATTTGCGACCAAAATCAACCAATTCTGTGAGCATCCTGATCACCAGTGCTTTGAACTGTGCATCTGATAGGTTGGCTATCTCTGGGTTGCTTAAAAGTATTGGCTCTGGAACTTTGATTTGTTCTTTCTTTTGAGCCATTTGGGGGGGTGGGTCTTGCCGTGCCTGTTACGTATGAGGGGAGGAGCCTTAGGTGTTCACCAGGGCAGGGCAACCCACCTCACTGGGTTGTGACGCTGTATGTGGGGGCGGGGTCAGGGAGGGAGCAATGGCACTTGCTCCACTCTCTGTCGGATTTCAGTCCCCTCTGCCACTTCCCACAAGCAAATTGGGCCCTTCTGGTGCTGGTTCCCGTTTGGGTGGGCTTGTGCATGTTCTAGGACTCTGTGGGTCTCTCCAACAAACTCTCCTGTGAGGCTGGGAGAGTCTCCTGGCACCTCAATCTCCACAAGTGTTCTCAATCAGTGCTTTTAGGCTTTATTTCCTGGCGCTGGGACCCTGGGTTGTGTGATCTGTCTTACTGCCTGTTTTCACCTGGTTTATCTGCATGAATGTGTGACTGTGGACAGCCTGCTGCCTTGTGTGCCTCACTGGATCTGCTCATTGCCTGCCCACATCCATGCCAGGGGTCTGCCACTGGAGTCTGCTAATCAACACTTGCACCCTGAGGCCTGGGTCTGCCAGCCACCGCTTTTTCCTGCTGCAACCCCTCTCTGCCGGCCACCGACTGCACTCTTCTTACTGGTCTGGATGAATAGTTGTCGGGACTTCTGTACAGTTCAATTTTCTGTCTGCTCTGGTTGTTTTGTTTCTAAATTTTTGTTGTCCTTAATTTTGGTTGTGGGAGGAGGCACAGTGTGTCCACCTATTCCTCCATCTTGGCCTGAAGTCTGGTGTGATTTTTTTTTTAAAGCACCATCATGGCTGTTCATAATATGTAGCACATAGTGATGAATAATTATTTGTTGAATTTAACTCAGTTTTATTTTAGTTCACGTTTACCTGGGTTTTAACTGAGCACACACGTTCTTTTCTGGGAAGATGCCCCCCCATTACAGAATAGTCCTGATGGTAGAGTTTGTCACGGGCGGAGCTGCCGCAGTACTTGGCCATTTTAGGCACGAGAAAGGAACATCTCTTACTACTGACATCTTTTTTCCCAGGTACTGCTCCTGCTGCTCACTGGCTGCTCATTGTCTGTAGCCCGAGGTGCAGTCACCACAGGGGACTGTGCTCACTCTCATCAGTGGAGCCCTGCTGCACATCCCCTCCTCTTGTCATCAGCTGCTTGGGCTTCTTCATGGTGCAGAGTCGTCATCTGCCTGGAGCAGGTTTGTCAACTGAATGTGTTTAAAATATCCCAGAAGGCAATAGGAGTTGACAGATTATAAACTGTCCTTTTTGGGGGTTAAACTTTCAAAATCTATTCACCATTCTTAGTTTTAAAAATAGAAATACTTTTCATTTTTCCGGCAGTTATGTGTATTATGATTTTTTCGAGGGTTTGGTACATTTTATCTTATGACAAGCTTTAATAAAATTTGCATTAATAATATGACTTGAATAGGACCGTGGCTTTTGTCCAAACCTTATAAGTTTGTGAAACATTTTAAGGAGAACAATGACCTTACAGAAGAGCTAGATTTCTTTTAATACACTTGTTCAGATCAGGCCGTATAATGCTCAAAATTGATATAGCATGTAACATGGGTTTCACTGAAGAAAAGTGCTCGGAATCAAACCTTAGAAGGCCATCTGGGGGCTTACTGGTCTGACCAAATGAATTAAAAAGTTTAGAGGCTGTTTTTTGTTCGTTTTAAAATAATACATAGAAAGTAGAGCAACCTGTTTTTGGTTTTGGTTATTATTTGGCATTGCCTGTGACTTATTTGCTCATATTAAGAAGATGGAATTGAGTGATCACATGATGTTCGAGAAAAATTTTTTTCTAGACTTTGGCGTTTTTTTTTAGTTTATAATACTTTTCTCTCTTATTTAAAAATAAAATACTTTTTAACTATATTGATTTTAATGTATGTTAATTGCATTCTTTTAAATTAGGGCTCTTATCCTTTTCCCCCTCTTTCAGGACCTGAACCAATCTAAAGAAGCGTATGGCACTTACGAAGATAAATGTCACTCTTGCCTTTTAAATTGGAACTTCTGCTTAGGACCTTTATGTGACTTTACATCTGTGATCTCTTCTTTCAGTAGCCACGGACTTTGAGTTGCAGGAAGGTCTCTGAAGATTTATATCAAATGACGTCAATGGCCAGCTTGTTTTCTTTTACTAGTCCAGCAGTAAAGCGATTGTTGGGCTGGAAGCAAGGTGATGAAGAGGAGAAATGGGCAGAAAAGGCAGTCGATGCTTTGGTGAAAAAGTTGAAAAAGAAGAAGGGTGCCATGGAGGAGCTGGAGAAAGCCTTGAGTAGTCCAGGACAGCCGAGCAAATGTGTCACTATTCCCAGGTCTTTAGATGGACGCCTGCAGGTGTCTCACCGAAAAGGCTTACCCCATGTTATATATTGTCGTGTTTGGCGCTGGCCTGATTTGCAGAGTCATCATGAGCTAAAACCATTGGATATTTGTGAATTTCCTTTTGGATCTAAGCAAAAAGAAGTTTGTATCAACCCATACCACTATAAGAGAGTGGAGAGTCCAGGTAGGTTTTACTCCCTTGGGAAGAATTTAGAAAACTTATCTTTTCCTGATTTGCATTTAACTGGATTTAGTAATTAAAAGGTTACATTGTTGTGTTTTCCTTCCTAAACATTTTAATCTTGGAAGGAATACTGGATTTTGAATTCAGCTTTTTATATATAGATGATACAGTTTTCATTGCTTCTAGACTCTTTGTGACAGCATATAAGCATGTCATAATGCTGCCCATCCTAAAGTAAAAGTTGAAGGATTCCTGTCTTGCCCTCATTTATACCTTCTTACACCCAATCTTCTTCTCTGTTTCCTCTAGTTCTTTTAGAGAAGTCTCCACTTTTATTATCTTCACATTACTTTCCTTCCATTCTTTGTTGACACCCCTCCAGTTAGTCTTTGCTGCCATTTGTGCATCACTAATGATCCAGGAGAGAGGGGGCATTCTCCATCCTCTTGTTTGCCCTCCCAGCATCATTTGATACAGTTGTTCTCCTCCCCCGGCCTCAAGGCTTTTCCGTATTGGCTTCTGAAACCTTGCAGTTTCCTGGTTCTCCTGCCTTCCTGGCTGTTGTTGCTTAGGCTCTTCGCTGGTTTATTTTTCCTGTTTTCATAGGACTCAGTCCCTGGACAGTTTCTCCATCTGTATCTATCTTCTATGTGCTCTCATGCTGTCTCATGCCTAACATGAGACATATATTATCTGTAGGCTCAGGCTAACATTTAGAACCACAGTCAACTTTTCTTTTGAGATGTAGACTTTTGTGTCCAGTTGCCTACTCGATACTTCCACTTGAGTGTGCCCAATAAACATACCATATTTAATGTCAAAGTAGGACTTCTGATTCTTTCCCACCAAGCCATTTTTTTCCTCTAGTTTTCCTTATTGAAGTAAATGGCACCAATATTTATGTAATTGCTACCTAGAAGTCATCTTCTATTTCTCTCCCTTAACGCCTGTGTTTGGGCTGCAAGCAGACGCCGTTTGCTGTGCCTTTAGAACATATCTCGGTAATGTCAGCGCTCGCCACCCGGAACACCGCTGCTTCGGTGCAGCATGTCGTCGTGGTCCACCTCCAGTCGTCTTCTTATTGGTCTCTCTGCCACTTTTCCTCCCTCTCCAGCCCGTTCTGTTTTCTACATAGCAGCCAGAGTGACATTTAAAAGTATATATTGAATCATGTCAGTTCTTGCCCAAAATACTTTAAAGGCTCTCAATCACAATTAGAACAGATTTCTACAAGACCCTACATGACCTACCAGACTTCCTCTGTTCTTTGGACTTGCCATACTCCTGTACCTAGGTTTTTTTCTTGCTGTTCTCTCTGCTTGAGTACTATTCTTCCAGATCTTTCCACAGCACATTTTCTTACTCCATTCAGTCTTTGCTCAAATACCCCCATCATTACTTGATGTCATGTTAGATATTTGTTTATTGGCTGAAGTGAGTAGGACCTTCTTCAGTCTCATTCTGTGCTGCATCCCCAGTGCTAGAATAGTAGTATTACCTGGCACTTCATAGATGATGCTCTGTAAATAATATCTTGTTATGAATGAACTGTATATGGTGAGATACTGGTTGGGTGCATTAGTTATCTATTGCTCCATAACAAAAAATGGCTTAACACACATTTATTATCTCACAGTTTCTGTGGGTCAGGAGTCCAGGCTGAGCCGAACTGGGTCCTTTGTAATGCTGTAGTCAGAGTGTTGTTGGTCAGGGCTTGGGTCTCCTGAGCTCAGCTGGGAAAGGATCTGCTTGCCAGCTCAGGTGATTGTTCAGAGGATTCGGTTCCTTGCCACCTGTTGGATTCCTGCTGGTTGTCACATGGAGGCTGCCTTTATTTGTTTGCCACGTGACCTCTTCATAGGTAGCTCACATACTTGTCAGTGTACTTCTTCAAAGCCAGCAAGAAAAATAGGGTCTTCTTGCTGGAAGGGTATTACATTCTTATGGAATGTTACCACATGCACCCTGTCACTTTTGCCATATTCTGTTGGTTAGAAGCAAGTCACAGGTAATACACTCAAAGAGGATTTTGCAAGAATGGTACACAGAGGTGGGAACACGGCGGTCACCTTGCAGTCTATGTGCCACACTGGGTTTCACGTGGGGATAACATAAGCCCAGGATGGTAACAAGGCTGTGAAACAGACATTGGATGTGGATACTGGCAGAATGAATAGCAGTGAGGTGCTGCCAGGGGAAGTTCAGTTTAAGGGCTTTAGAGCTGCCAACTGGTATTTGAGGTGAGTACAGATCTCCTTACTGAATCCAAGGAGATCTGTAGCCTTTAGGAATTGATGAAGAAAGGAAGATGTGAGGAGTTAATAGAGAAGTATAGTCTGAAAAATCCCCTAGCTTGATATATCCAGGAGGCTGGTCTAGGAATTTAGTGTATTATAATAGCCACTGTGTGATCAACAATCTCCCAATAGAAATGTCGTATTTTTTTAAATAATCCATTTTCTCAGCCATGATTCACTCTATAGAAAAAACTTAGGGCATAGCCCTGGTATGCTTAAGCAAGTGAAGCATTTATTATATAAGATGGATCACTTTATGGTTCCAGTATTAATAAAGTGGAGGTAGTAGTAACTGTAATAGTAATGAATATTTATTGAGCATTGTGGACCAGGCACTTTTTTAATATTATGAGGTTATTTCTTCATAGGGTTAGAAAATAGTACTAACATTGTAAAACCTAGTAAGTTTACAGCCTTGGCTGGTGTAGCTTAGTGGATTGAGCATGGGCCTGTGAACCAAAGCATCGCTGGTTCAATTTCCAGTCAGGGCACATGCCTGAGTTATGGGACAGGTCCCCAGTGGGGGGTGCTGGAGAGGCAACCACACACTGAGGTTTCTCTCCATCTCTTTCTCCCTCCCTTCCCCTTTCTCTAAAAATAAATAAGTAAAATCTTTAAACAACAAAATTAAAACCTAGTAGGTTTACAGATAAGGAAAACCAAGGGAAGTAACTGATACAAGATCACATTGCTAATATATAGTAGAGTGAGAAAGTACTACGAAGATGGAAGGTAGTTGAAAAAGAGAAACAGAGGGCCAACCAAGGTGGCCCAGTGTTTAATCTAATAGGCAAAGTTGTCTGGGGATTAAGACGGTTCTGGAACCAGACTTTCTGGGTTTGAATCCTAATTTTATCAGTATATGAAGGTGACTATGGGCAAGTTATATAACCATTCTGTGGCTTAGTTTCCTCATCTGTAAAACAGGAATAATAATATCTACCCTCTGGTTTTATTATGAGGATTAGATGAGTTAACGTATGAAAAGTGCTTAGATTCAAACATTAACTGGTTCAGAATGAGCTTCAAGTTAAATATCATTCTAATAAAATAATAATCCTGGAAATAGAGCATGGGGAAAATGGCAGCGAAAAGTTATTAAAGAAATACTACTAGGATAAGTTCCAGAACTGAAAATTGAAAAGGCCCAGTGACTGAATAACCAGATGAAGGGATAAAAAAATACCCAAATGTGAAAATTTAGTATATCATGGATTAAAAAAATATTCGGAAAGCTCCTAGAGAGAAAATACAAAACATGTAGAAAGGATTGAGATGGGAATATTGTATTTCCAATGGAACTTTGGATTCTAAAAGAAAATAAAGTATTGCCCCCTAAATTCAGAGACAAAAAGTTATGTATTCTGGAATCTGTCTGCAGACCAACAAAAGGCAAGGTATATTGTATGTGCAAGGACTCAAAATTTATCTTCCTTATACCCCACTTCTTAGGAAGATAATTGAAGGAGATCAGGCTTAGGAAATGAGATCGAGCAGGAGAAAGGAGAAGGGAAGCGAAGTCCAAGGACTTCAGATTTGTAGGAGACTTCAGTAGCAGCCAGTCTAGATTTTAGCAGAAGGATGGAGGATCCAGGGGAAACATGAGTTTTGAGTGTGTTTGTGGTATCTAGAAGATAATGTTCATAGGAATTTGACAGGTCTGTTGGACTTCTAGAAAAGGAACAAGGCAATAATTAACTGTAGTAAAAGCACTGTTCAGGAAAAAATATAATCATGGTACATACTTAGCTCAAAAGGAATAATCTTAATATACAATATTAACACTAGATATTAATTTAACCAAAAAATTTTAATGTAACTTTATTGTGGGGGAGGGGGAGGGGATAGAATGATATAAGATAGCCACTTCATTTACTGTCATAGCAAGTCTACAAATAATATCATAAACTCAATAATAGTAATATAAACATTATTTAGTGGTACATAAAGTATTAGAAAAAATGGTTAAGAGTTTATATTTTTTGTCTCTGGAAGCAGTATGGATGAGGCTTGGAAGTTGCTGTTTTTGTTATAATCTCATATATCTTTTTAAACTACCCATGTATTTTTAGGGGTTAAAAATAAAATATTTAATAAAAAATATGTATAGATATACAAGTAAGGGAGAAGTCAGTGATTTTTAGCTCTGTCTTAAAAAAAAAGTAAAGAAATCCTTACTAGATTGAATTCCTAAGGAGTTATTTTACTAAGTCTTTCAGATTGCTGCTAGCTAAACACGGACACTCTTGCTGTCCAGCGCCCTCCCTGTTCTCCGGTGGCAGCTGTCCCTCGTTCTTCAAGGAGGGCAGCCGTTGGTAATACACAGTAGAATAAAAGCATTGTAAACAGATGGTAACCACATAATTACAACACTAGTTCAGTAGAATAAAAACAGACAAAAACCAATACAAGTTAAAGAGCCTCTCGATTCCTCAGGTTCATCCTGCTTCTGGGAGGGGAGTGTGACCTAGTTAACTGAAAAACCTTGATTTTGTTGACGCTAACAGTGTCAGAGCCAAAGAGATTTTCAGAAACGAAATAACATTGACAAATATAAGAAAGTTGTAAAACGTGATTGGGTCCAGTGAGAGTTTAAAGAAATAGGTCTTTTTCTGTTTTCTATGGGGAAAGGTAATCAAATACTTGTGTGTGATTTAGCTCTTGGGTCTTTAAAGAAAGTGAATGTTTGGCTTTATTCAAAAAGTTTATCTTTTAAAAAATACATCTCTTAAAATGTTTGGGCTTTGTTGTATATATTTTCATTATGGTCCTGGTTAGAAAACTGACTTTGAATAAAAGATTCTACATGGGAAAACTTTTGAGTGGGGAAAACTTTACTGAAGAACATAAAATGTGAGATCTCTCAAACTGAGAAACATGAAATGTTCAAAGTTGGAAACACGGAGGCTTTCAAGACATCTGTATAGCTGACCTTAACTTTAGTCTCTCCCTCTTGTTTCCTGGTTCAGTGGCTAGACCAGCTGTTTATTCTTTCTGACCTCCCTCCTGGAGTCTCCCCACTTCCTCCTTGATTCTCCCCACCATTGGCACTCCCCTGTGAAATCTTCCTGGTTCTTTGAGGTCCGCCCAGATACTGTCTTTTCCACAACCTTTTGTGTGGTCATTGCCAGTTAGAAGTACTCACCTTTGTTGAACTCGCATTGCATTAAATTTTCTGTATTACTGTTGTTTTAAAATATGCCTTATCTCTTACAGAACCAGGAGTGGTATCTTCTCTGGGTTTTCTCTCACTTTATAAATGCTAAATGCTTAGAGAATTTTAGGTTCGTTATTATACAAATAGATTCAAGGTTCTACAAAGCAGGCCTTCCTAAAAGTGAATTAATAGGGAGGGTTATGGTCTTACCTGAATCTTCTCTATGTACCTTTAATATGCATGGAATATTTGCTTTAGTCATTGCTGACAGATGACTTCTGATTTTTGTCTTTCAGTCTTACCTCCAGTATTAGTGCCTCGTCACAATGAATTCAATCCGCAACACAGCCTTCTGGTTCAGTTTAGAAACCTGAGCCACAATGAACCGCACATGCCACAAAACGCAACTTTTCCTGATTCTTTCCACCAGCCCAACAACACTCCTTTCCCCTTATCTCCGAATAGCCCCTATCCTCCTTCGCCTGCCAGCAGCACCTACCCCAACTCCCCAGCAAGCTCTGGACCAGGAAGTCCGTTTCAGCTGCCAGGTAAGACTTCATTTTATTGATACGAAGTGTGACTCCCTGAGAATCAGCAGTTGTTATACTGCTGGCCCTTTAGGTGAACTGTTATATGCCAAGAGCTAACTACTTTTGATTCTGTGTTCTTTGGTCACTGTTTGATTTACAGGAGAGTTTGGGATTTCATTTTGGCAGATACCATCTGTTTAAATATTTTTATATAATTTATAATACTAAATGCCATTTATTGATTAACTTTTATATAACTGATACTGTGATGAAAAACATTGCATTAAATTTAATCTTCAGAACAGCACGTGAGGTAGATATTATTCCTGTTCCCAGGTGGAAAAATAAATTGATCCTGACTCTAAGAGTTTAGGTACCTTGCCTAAAGTCACACAGCTAATAAATAGGGGCCCAACTTTCTTTGACTTTAAACTCTCTGCTTTTTTAGCTTTACTACATTGCTTGTCAAATCATTTTAGACTTTGGAAGGTTAAAATGAATTCCAGTTTTCTTTAATGAAAAAACTGATGAACTGATTTACCTGGAGAAAGACAAGTAGATTATAATTTATCAAGTTTTTAATTTTCATTAATGTAGTGTACCAACACATCCTATGTCACTGTCAAATACTTGAATGCCTGTTGCAGGCAGAGTCATTATATTCTTTGTGGCTTCTCTGCTGCAAAATATCAATTGATGCAGAGGGCTGTTTTTTAAAGAGGAATTAAGTACCAACTGTTTAACTTGCTTTTGGGTGTTTGTTCAAAAGCTAGTTTTTATACTTTGTCCTAGATTCAGTTCTGATTATAATTCTGTCTCTAAATGTATCTTGTACAAACCTTGGGGTAAAAGAAAAAGTATATTCAGTATTTATAGTTACTGAGACAAAGAAGTATAGCTGTAGATTGTGCAAAGAATTTCAGCCATGAGTGTTGGAACTCAAGAGACTTTTTGGTTAACATTCAGTTTCCTGAGAGAATTATCTAGCCATTTTAGGTTGTTGCAAAAAAAATCAGACAAATTAGTCAAACTGCTGCTCTTAGTGTTGATGGCAGTTTTTGAAAGAACATACCTTTATTTTCCAGTTTTAAATAACAATGTACAATATGTGATGAGTTTGGTCATTTAAAAGTGTCTCTGTAGATACATAAGCATATGAGGATAATCGTGTCCTGCAGAGTCATTTCCAGTATTCTCAGTTTTTCCGAGTTGGTGATTCTAGGCAAATAAAGGGAAAATTCTTGACTTTGAATTCTGCTTTAGTGAGTTTCATCACTGCTCTTACTGGATTGTCCAAATATATGTGGGCTTACAGGAGATTTTCAGTAGCAAGTGGTTGTGCTGTCTTTTTTCCTTTTCTCTTGCCCTAAGATAGCATCCTGCTTTTTTGTGTGTCCATGATACTCAGTAATGAGCCCTGCTGGTAATCTTAAGAATTTTTAAATTCTTTTACAGTAACTTCAGGCAGGATGGAGACTTGAGTCTTTTGAGTCTTTAACTTGTCTGATTTTCTTCTCTCAGCTGATACTCCACCTCCTGCCTATATGCCACCAGATGATCAGATGGGTCAAGATGGTTCCCAGCCCATGGACACAAGCAATAATATGATTCCTCAGATTATGCCCAGTATATCCAGCAGAGGTAAGAGAAATACTCACCATATTAATTTTTTTGTTCTTGCTCCTTTCTTTGCTTGGCTCTTTAAAAACAGCTTTATTGAGGTATAATTTATAGCTATAACATTTATCCATTTTAAGTGTATGATTTATTGATTTTTATAAATGTACAAAGTTTTACACCATCACCATAATGGAGTTTTAGAATATTTCCATAATCCTTTAAAAATATCTCTTGTGACTATTTTGTAGTCTGTCCTCATCCCAAACCCATCTTCAGAGACCCTCAACTCTGTTTTCTGTATCTATAGATTTGCCTTTTCGAACATTTCATATAAATAGAATCACAAATCGTATACTCTTCTGCATCTGGCTTTTTTCACTTGGTGTCATGTTTTCATGGTTCATCCCTGTTGTTGCATGTATCAGTAGTTCCTTTTTATTGTTGAATAAGTATTCCATTGTACGGATGTACCGCATTTTGTTTATCCATTCATCAGTTGATGGACATTTTAATTGTTTCCACTTTTGGGTTAGTATAAACAGTGGTGTTAATGAACATTTGCATACAAATCTTTATGTGGACACTGTTTTTCTTGGGTAGATAACCTAAGAGTGGAATTTCTGAGTCATATGATAGGTATTATAATAACTATTTAAGAAAAACAACCAAATTTCTCCAAAGTGGCAGTACCTTTTTCCATTCTTACTCCTAACACTTGTTATTTTCTTTTTTTTGTTGTTGTTATCATTATAGCCATTCTACTGTGCATAAAGTGCTATATTATTGTGGGTTTAACGTGCATTTCCCTAGTGAATAAAGATGATGAACATATTTATGTACTTATTAGCCATTCATGTATCTTCTTTGGTGAAATGTTTATTCAAATTTTCTGCCCATTTTTAAATTGCATTGTCTGTCTTATTGAGTTGTACTTGTTTTTTATATATTCTGGATAGAAGTCCTTTATCAGATACATGATTTGCAAATATTTTCTCAATCTATGAATTGTCTTTTCATTTTCTTAATAGTATCTTATGAAGCACAAAAGTTTTTAATTTTGATGAAGTCTAGTTTAGTGATTATTCTCTTTTTCTTTTGCATCTGAGAAATTTTTGTCTATCCCAAGGTCATGAAAATTTTCTTAATGCATTTTCTTCTAGAAGTTCTATCTATAGCTTTAGCTCTTAAATTTAGGTGTATGATTCCTATTGAGCTCAGCTTTTCGCGTGGTGAGGTCTGAATTCATCTTCGTGCACGTGACTGTCCAGTTGGTCCTAGCACTCAGTGTTCGTTGAAAACAGTATTGTTTCTCCATTGAGTTGCTTTGGCATCTTTTTCAGAAACCAGTTAACTATATGAGTTAGTATTTATTTCAGGACTCTCAATTTTATTCATTGATCTGTGTATCTGTACCTCATGGTCTTGATTATTAAAGCTGTATTGAGTTTTGAAAACAAGAAGCATGAGTTCTCCAGCTTCGTTGTTTTCTTTTAATCATCACCCAAGGATATGTTTATTATTTTTTGGTTTTAAATTTTTACCTATTTATGTATTTTTAAAGATTTTATTTATTTATTTTTCAAGAGGGGGGAGGGAGGGGGAAAGAGAGGTAGAGAAACATCAATGTGCAAGAGATACATCGATCAGTTGCCTCTCGCACACCCCCAACCGAGGACCTAGCCCACAACCTAGGCATGTGCCCTGAGTGGAAATTGAACCAGCAAACCTTTTGGTTTGCAGGCTAGCACCCAATCCACTAAGCAACACCAGCCAGAGCTGTTTGTTGTTTAGAGAGAGGGAGAAAGAAACGTCAGTTTGTTGTTTCCTGTGTGTGCCCTAACTGGGGATCAAACCCATAACTTAGGTATATGCCCTGACTGGGAATTGAACCTACAGCCTTTTGGCATATGAGATGATGCTCCAACCCACTGAACCACCTGGCCAGGGCCAACTTTTGTTAGTTTTTAACATTATTTGGCTATTCTATGTTCTTTGCATTTCCATATCACTTTAGTATCAGTTTCTCAATTTCACTCCTCCAAAAAACCCTCTTTGAATTTTGATAGAGTTCACATTGAATCTCTAAATAAATTTAGGGTGATATACCATCATTTCCCAGTTCATGAATGTGGAATCTCTCTCTATTCATTTGTATCTTCTCAGTTTTCAGTATAAAAGCCTTTTATGTTTGCTTCTCTTTTTAAATTTATTCCTATGTGATTGGAATTTGTTTAATTTCATGTTTGGATTATTCTTGATTAGTATATAGGAATACACTTGATTTTTATTTATTAATCTTGTGATTTGCAAGCTTGCTGAATGCAATGATTAGTTCTAGTAGTAGGTTTTTTATGTGTGATATGTGGATTCCTTGGAGTCATCTAAGTACAGGAGCATATTGTTTATGAATAAAAAGCAGTACTTTTTCCTGTCTAACCTGGATGCCTTTTTCTCTCTCTCATTATTTTTAAAGGGTGCATATGAAAACAGCCATACTCATACTTAATGATAAAAGACTAAATTGCTTTCCCCTAGAATTAGAAATAGCACAAGAATGCCTATCTACTCCTATTTCTATTCATCACTGTTCTGGAGGGTCTAGCCAGTAAATTACTAGTTCTCTCTTATTTCTAGTTCTCTCTTATTTCTAGTTTGTTGAGAAGTTTTATCATGAATGAACTCTAAATTTTATTCATTGAGCTGTTGACTTTTGTCAAAAGGCTTTTCTACATCTATATGGAGTTTTCTGTTCTTTTTTTCTAGTAATAGGTTTATTACATGAGCCGGTTTTCTGATGTTAAACCAGCCCTGTATTCCAGGGATAAATTCCAATGTGGTCAAGGTGTATAGGCCTTTTTCATGTATTGCCATGTTACGTTTACTGACGTTTGGGTGAATGTTTCTGTTTGTGCATTCATATGTGATACTAGTCTGCAGTTTCTAGTGATGCCTCTGTTTGCCATTGGGGTCAGGGAAATAATGGCTTATGGGAGGTGGTGGGAATTGTTCCTTCTAGTTTTAGTAGAGTTTGTAAATTATAAGTATTACTTCTTTAAATAGTTGATAGAATTTACCAGTGAAGTCATTTGTGCTTGGACTTTTCCTTGTGGGAAGATTTTAAAAACTGATTCAGTTTTTTTAGTTGTTACATGGGTCTGTTCAGGGTCATTGTTTTTTTCTTGAGTCCGTTTTGGTAATTTCTGTCTTTCTAGAAGTTTGTTTACTTCATCCACATCATCTAATTTGTTAGCACAAAGTTTTAATTTCTAATTTCTGGCGGGGGTGTTAGTAGTTATGTCTTCATTCCTAATTTTGGAAATTTGTTCCTTATTTGTTTTTTTCTTGGTACCTTTAATTAAAGGATTGCCAATTTTGTTGATCTTTTGAAAGGATCAGCTTTTCTCTTTTTCATTGATTTCTACTCTAACCACTACTATTTCCTTTATTCTGCTTACTTTGGGTGTAGTTTTCTTCTTTTATAATTTCTTAAGGTAGAATCTTAGGTTATTGATTTGTTTCCTCTTTTTTAACATAGCTGTTCAAAACTATTAATTTCCCTTTAACCACTCCTTTAGTTGTACCTCATAAGTTTGGATATGTTTTGTTTTCATTTTTATTCAGTTTAAAATATTAAAAAATTTCCCTGTGATTTCTTGTTTGACTCTTGGATTATTTAGTAGCACGTTAATCAGTTTCCAAATATTTCAGAATGCCCCAAATTTCTTTTAGTTCTTAATTCCTAATTCAATATCACTGTGGGCACTTAACATACTTTGTATGATTTCTGTTTTTTAAAAGTTATTGCAACTTGTTATATGCATGTTTTTGTACAGCCTGTGACCTAAGAATGGTTTTCAGGTTATTAAAGGATCATTAAACAAGACTGTGTGGCAGAGAGAGTATGTGGCCTGCAAAACCTAAAATGCTTGTATTCCACTTGGTCGTGGTATATAATCCTTTTTATATATTGCTGGATTTGGTGAGCAGAAAACATTCACCAGCACCTGGCAGAGCATATAGCGTACTGTAGAGAATATTCCACGTGCATGTGAAAACATTATATATTTCATTGTCATAGGGGATCATAGGATCTATGGATTTCAGTTAGACCAAGTTGTTTGATAGTGTTATTCAAGTCTGTTGTCTAAATTTCTTTCTAATTGTTCTATCAATTTTTGAGAGTGGGAGATTGAAGTTCCCAACTATTGCTATTGAATGACTTATTTTTACTTTTGAGTTCTGTTGGTTTTTGCTTCAGGTACTTTGGGGACTCTTGTTAAAGTATACATAATATTGAGTATATCCACAGTGTTTTGCAACCATCACTATTATCCATTTCTAGAACTTCCTTGATACCAAACAGAACTCTGTACCATTAAACAACAACTCTCCATTCTCCCTCTCTGTGCCCCTCAGTAACTACCATTTTACTTTCTGTCTTTGTGAATTTGCCTATTCTGGTCCCCTAAGTGTAATCATGTAATATATATTTGTCCTTTTATGTCTGGCTTATTTCACCTAGCTGTGTTTTCAAGGTTTATTCATGTTGTAGCCTATATCAGAATTCCATTCTTTTTTAAGGCTGAATAATATTCAATTCCATTGTATGGACATACCACATTTTGTTTATTTATGTATCAGTTGATGGGCATTTAGATTGTTTCCACCTTTTTGCTATTCTGAATAATGCTGCTGTGAACATTGGTATACAGGTGCCTGTGTGAGTCTCTGCTTCGTAACTCATTTGGTGTTACATACCTGGGAGTAGAGTTGCTGAAGTTACGGTAATTCTGTTTAACTTACTGAGGAACTGTCAACCTGTTTTCCATAGGGGCTGCACCATTTACGTTTCCACCAGCCCACATTAGGGTTCCAATTTTTTCACATTCTTGTGAACACTTTTTAAAAAATAATAGTCATCCTAATGGGTATAAAGTGGTACCTTTCTGTGATTTAAAAGCCAGTTTATTTTGAGACCCTAAATTCTTTAGTTTGTCACAAGTTTAGAAGAAGATACTGCC